TAATCCTGCAGTAATCCCTTATAGCCAATAGCCTCGCGTGGCTATACGCATGGTGATTCTATTTCTAGAAGGGTCTATTTCCTTTGGATAGGATAAACGTGGTTACCTTATGTACTCTGGAAGTATAAAGCACCTTGTACTGATTGATAGTGAAACATTGAGCAAACCTTTCCTCGGGACATTCGATCCTGTGACACCCTGCCCCACTCGGACCAAGCCTCCAGGGGTAGGAAATCCAGGGGGGTGGTGCGGGTCAGGTACGAGACGCGCCTGGACACGCAGCGTGTGAGGAGGAGGACTGTGGGTCCATCGTGGCCAATGTGGCGAGGGGTACAGTGAGCGCGGCAAGCTGGGTGCGGAGAAAACCTGCTGTGCCTTCAGGCGTGCCTATAAAACTGCCCAGCACGCGCACCCCTTCGCCGTTGAAGGGTATGTCCGGCGGGAGGCAGTCAGGCACGGGGCGCTCGGCGGACCATGCTGCGCACTTCGCGGGGTTGTGAGAGAGGCCGATGCCTTCCATGGCGGCGGTGAAGTCTAGGAACGCCGAGGTGCAGGCACCTGGGTCGCCCACGAAGGTCACATTGTCCGCGTAAGCGAGACAGAGGACCTCGGGGTGGGCTGCCACGGTGGCGTGAAGCGTAGGGTGGATGGCAGCTGCAAAAGCAGGGGGCCCATAGGGACCCCTTGGCGTACTCCCCGCGCGCTCGGTAGGGGTGGGCTACCGAACTCCGCATCGAGGTAAAGCAAGGACGGTGCCTCATACGAGAACTGGATAAACGGTAGAAGGGGGCGCAGGGGCGAGTGATTGATGGCGTAGATGATAGCCTCGCGGTCAATATTGTTGAACGCGTTTGAGAGATCGACCTGCAGAATTAGCGATCCCGGGCGCGCGGAGGTGAAGCCCCTGGTGGCGTGGATGATTATCTCCCCTCCGCTCCGGATTGCCACCCCGAATTTGTGTGGGAGAAAATAGGCTTGTGCCGGTTGTGTTGAAGAGACGAGTGCAGATTTAGCCGCCAGTCGATGCAGGCACTGGCCGATAGCAATGGGACGAGTACCTCCATCTGGTTTGGTGAGTGCCAGGAGGCGTGAGGAAGTCAGGAGCTGGCTGACCTTGTGCGGCAGGTTACCAGCGAGGAGGCGCTGGACGAGCTCGTGAAGGTGCTTGGCGACGGAAGGGTTGGTAAGCGAGGCATCACGAAGATGCTCGAAAGTCATTCCCGATGGCCCCACCCCAACCCCATTTTCGCAACGTGAGAGGAGCCTCGCGAAGTCAGCAAAGTCGACTGTGGGCGGCCTGGAGTCCTCGCCCAGCTGCGGCCAGTTAAGGTCTTCAGCTAGCGGGGGGGGGTGTTTTGACTTCAGCACATCCAAGACAGCAGGGATGGACTCGCTGACTGGGGTTGAAGTCAACGCGAGCAGTGCTCGTCGCAAGCTGCTGTGTCGCACCAGCCCCTCGGCTCGGGATATTTTCCCGAGGGTGTCAGGTACGTGGCGGGGTGGGGGTGGCAGGGTGACCGCAGATGCGGCTGCTTGGTACAGAGCGTCCCATTGGCCCGTGAGGAATTGTTGGAGGCGTTTTTCTGCCGCGGGCCAATCGGGACGTCTTGGTGAAGGAAGGCGAAGGGTGAGACGCGGGAGGTAAAGTAACAAAATCCAACCCTCAGTGGAGGTTGGATTTTTGGCGAGGAAAAGGAGGGGTGTCAGCAGGGCGAGTGCGAAAAGTTGACGAATTTGGGGAGGAAAATGGCGGGAGAGCGGGGGTTGGCGGCTGTCGCATAATATTGCGATGTCCCAGCTGGCGATCCCGACGAAGCGGGAGGCGTCGCTCGCCAGCTCTTCTGGGGACAGCTGCGGAGCTGTTTGGGGATGGGTGTCCAGTAGTACCCGTGTATTACGCATGCTGCTGGAACTTCGTCCCCCAGATCTGGGGGTTGGACCAGCTGTTCCCCCTCTAGAACGCCTGTTTGTCTCCACGCCTCCCTCCTCACTAGACACGTCTGTTGTAGACTCCCTCTGCTCCCCAGGTACATAAGTTCCGTTGGCCCGTTCCTCCTCACCAATAGTTCCTTGTAATCCCAAGGCTCTTAAAGCCCTGTTCGCCGCCTGCTGGAATCCGTTCAGCGGACCCCCGTCGGAGGACAAATCGCCTCGCCTAGCTTGCCCGCGTCCGCTTGCCCGCGTCCGCGACCCCGCGCTGCCCGCCTAGCGTGTCTCCTGCGCCCTCCTCCTCGATCTCCTCCCGGGGCCACCCTGTCCTCCGTCCGTCGTTCGTGTCGGGTCGTGGGAGGAGCCGAGCGCGGCGCGTCGCTTTCTGATGGACCAACCATCGGGGTTCGAGCTGGGCGGGCCCGTTCGTGAGCGCTCTGCCGATTTGGAGAGCACTGGGGAGAGTGCGCCCCCCAAGGTCAGGCGAGTCCTCCGGCCCAGTCGAACCGCGATTGGGAGCGTGGGCTCCCTGTCCCCTCGTCAGCCCGCCATCAGACCCCAGAGCGGATGCCTGGGCGGTCGCGGAGTCGGCCGTCCGCTCCGCAGCGGCGCGAGGAGAAAACTCCCGAGCGCGCCCTGGAAACTGATCGTGGACTATTGGTGCACGGCGCGGCGCGTCAGCAGCCTCACCTGCAGCATCCTCCCCGCCGTGGGACGCCTCAGCGCCGCCCGCAGGCGCAGCCGACGCAGCAGCACCGGACTCCGCAGGCGCAGCGCGTGCGTTCTGGCCAGCGCCCCGGCTGGAGGGCCGGCGGGGGGAGTAACCGCGGATCGGCTGCAGAGAGACGTTTGGGGCGAGCTGCCGCGACACTCGAGGGTATGTTCTGCGCTGTCGCCCAGCCCCAGCAGCCAATGGCATATCCCCCCAGCATCTATCGTCGCAGCAGTATCACCAGGCGCATCAGCAGCAGGCGCATTTCCCGCCGCAGCAGGTGTCGGCGCAGACGTTCCCGCCGCACAGTGCAGCGCTTCCGCTACTCCCAAACAACCAGCAGCTTCCACCACCTCCTCCGTCCACACATCCTCCGCCGATCTTCCCCTCTGCCGCCCCTTTCGTTCCGCACCAGCCGCGAGTGGAGCCGCACCCGCTGAACGCGCAGTCCGCAGAGGCTCTGCCGCGCTGGCAGCCAACGCCCCTGGAGGCATCGGTGGTAGGTTGGCCCGGCAGCCGGCTGCAGCCGGTGGTGCCAGCGTCTTTCGACGATCTGGCAACGGCGCCCTTTGTCCCCCCTCGTCGCGCGCTGGAGTCGCCGACTGGAGTTGAGGGGGGGGCAGAAGCTGTGGAGATGCTGACGGACTCGCACTTTCTACGGAACTCAGCGAGCCTGTGCAAGATGCCCCACGATCCTCTCCACTGCTGCGCGATGGCTGCAGCTGATCTGGCAGTCGTGTCAACGCGAGTGCAGCCTGCGCCCGCCCCGGGAACCGTGTTGGACCCGCGCCTGCTCGCCGTGATGCAGGTAGTATCGGCGAGCATAGACTCGGCTGCAGCTGTAGACATCGTTGGCGGCGCTGTGTCAGCGCTGATGCTCCTGGTGGGCTATGTGACGGCCTTGCTGGAGGAAGCTGGAGCGGACCAAGTCGCGTGACGGGCTCCCGTCGCGTATAGGTCCGCGTTGGTGAAGTGCGCGCAAGCGTGAGCGCTCTGGTAAGCTCGGTGAGGCTTTCCATGCCTCGTTAGAAGTGTGGCTGTTGAGCACCACAGTAGCCTGCTAGGGAGATTGTGTAGTTTGTATTGTTGAAGTTGCAAACTTGGTGTTGCTGTTGCCTTGCCATCCCCCAACGCGCGGCCGGAGGCCGCGCCGCGAGCATCGGCGGCCCGCCACCAAGGGAAGGAGAATCTATATAACATAAAACTAAACTAGGAGAATGAGCTAGGGAGAGGGCTTAAATAGCTGGAGGGAGACTCATGGTCTCTCTCAAGCGGTCCGTTTATTGCTTGGAAAACCTTGGTACAGGCTAGGCAGGCAAGGGGCAGCAAGTCAAGGTACGTGCATGTTTTGGGGACTCGGACCTACTCGGTCTCCCCTAGGGGCTCTGCTATGGCAAAGCAGTCCCCTGGTGCCATATCGGCGTCGGGGGTGCCCACTGGGGCGTGGGTGGCGGGGGAGGCTTCATTTACTTTGCCCAGGTAAGCCAAGGCCTGCGCCCGCTGCAGCGTCACTGACCAGCGTTGGCGAAACTGGTGGAGCAGTTTCGCTGCCTGGTAGGAGCTGGGGTCTGCATTGAAGAGTCTCCTGGCCCCTGTGTCAGCCAGCAGCTTCAAGAAGGTAGGGACCTCGGCGCAGGGGCAGCCATATGTCTCGACTGCCAATGGAAGAAACCGACGTAGGGAGCCCGATTTCGGTAATGGGAGATTTTCTTGTCAGCTTGCTCCCGGGCCATGTATCCACGTCCTTTTCGTGCATCCGGATCCCGGCTGCTGATGGGGTCTGTGATGGTGACATCACAGATCCAGACGGCTCCGGAGCTGCGGTCGCGGAGAGCGAGGTCGGCCTTGTGGCCGTCGACGGGGCTGTAGATGGTGGTCTCCTTGGTGACTATAAAGTCAGCGTCTCGGGCCATCCGTATGCTCTCATCCCACAGGGCATTATGGGTGTCAGTCCGTCCGTGCCCGGTGCCACACCGAAGTAGGTGGTTGGGCAACCTAGTGTCGAGGATTTCGAATTCCTCGGCGCAGTTGCAAGTGCGGGGGGCTGGGAACGGAAGGCCGAGGCGGTAGGCCAGGGCTATGGCGAAGTGTGGAGCTTCGAGGCGGAGGGATGGGAAGATGGGAATGGCATGGAGCTAGTCTCCTGCTCCATATCCAGCCAAGGAGAAGAGTCGTTGTGTGTGGTCGGAGTGGGGGTTTGGGTCCATGGTCCGTGAGGCTGCCACTTGGTCGGCGTATCGCATGGCCTGGACCTCGAGGGATAAGCGGTGTTGGAGAGGGGAGCCTGAGGTTTCCCTCCTTTCGGAGTGCAGGAGCTCCCGGGCCTGTGGGGGCATCGTCGCTTCACATTTCACCAGCCAGGTATGCAGGTGGGTGGGAGTGGTGAATGGAGGCGTGAGGTGCCGGACAGTATCAGCCAGGGGCCCTCCTGACACGGCTGGGAGGGCAGCCAAGAGGCCCTGGGCTTGGGTGATGCTGGTGAGGTAGGCTGGGTGTCCCTCAATTGCAGGGTCGGTGAGACCCAGCCCTCCGAGAGAGGGAGGGAGGGACGCTTGAGCCCAAGTGCGCGCTCGCTCCACCTCGCCTCGTGGTGGTTGGAGGTTGCAGGCGCGCAGAAGAGTATGGAATAGCTCCCGTCCCCAGTCGGACCAGACGTCCAGGGGTAGGAAGTCAAGGGGGGTGGTGCGGGTTAAGTATGAGATACGCCGAGAGCCGCAGCGTGTGAGGAGGAGGGATGCTGACTGAGGGTCCATTGTGGCCAGTGTGGCGAGGGGCTCGGCCAGCAAGGCTAGCTGGGTGCGGAGGAAGGTGGCTGTGCCCTCGGCCGTGCCTATAAAGCTGCCAAGCACGTGGACCCCTTCTGGAGTGAAAGGAATGTCTGGGGGGAGGCGGTCAGGTGCAGGGTGCTCGGCAGACCACGCCGCGCATTTCGCGGGGTTGTGGGAGAGACCGATGCGGTCCATGGCCGCTGTGAAGTTGAGGAACGCAGAGGTGCAGGCGTCCGGATCGCCGACGAAAGTGATGTCGTCGGCGTACGCGAGGCAGAGGACCTCGGGGTGGGCCGCGGCGGTTGCCTGGAGCGCTGGGTGGATGGCTGCTGCGAAAAGGAGGGGGCCCATGGGGTCCCCTTGGCGAACTCCCCGCGCGCTGAGTAGGGGTGGGCTATCGAACTCGGCGTCGAGATAGAGCAGAGACGGAGCTCCATAGGAAAATTGTATAAACGGAAGGAGCGGGCGCAGGGGCGAGGTGTTGATTGCGTGGATGATGGCGGCGCGGTCGACGCTATTAAAGGCGTTTGAAAGGTTGACTTGTAGGATGAGTGAGCCCGGGCGCGCTGAGGTAAAGCCCCTGGTGGCATGGATGATGGTTTCTCCGCCGCTTCTGATGGCTACCCCGTATTGGTGTGGTAGGAAGTAGTCTTGCGCGGATTGCGTGGAGGAGATTAGCGCGGATTTTGCCGCTAGCCGATGGAGACACTCGCCTATTGCGATGGGGCGGGTACCCCCATCTGGCTTGGTAAGGGCCAGGAGGCGTGAGGAGGTAACGAGCTGGCTGACCTCGTGCGGCAGGTTACCCGCGAGTAGCCGCTGGACAAGCTTGTGAAGATGTGTGGCGACGGAGGGGTTGGACAGCGAGGCGTCGCGAAGGTGCTCGAAGGTCATCCCCGAGGGGCCTGCCCCAACTCCATTTTCGGAGCAAGAAAGGAGCTTCGCGAACGTAGCGAAATCGACTGTCGGTGGCCTGCAGTTTTCGTCGAGCTGTGGCCAAGTGAGGTTTTCGACAAGCGGAGGGGGGTGTTTTGACTTCAGCGCGTCCGGGACCGTGGGGGTGGACTTGCTGACTGGGGTCGAAGTCAACGCGAGCAGGGCCCGTCGCAAACTGCCTCGTCGTACCAAGCCCTCGGCGCGGGATATTTTCCCAAGGGTGTCAGGTACGTGGCGGGGAGGGGGTGGCAGGGTGACAGCAGAGGCGGCTGCTTGATACAGTGTGTCCCATTGGCCCGCGAGAAATTGTCGAAGTCGTCTTTCCGTCGCGGGCCAGTCAGGACGTCATGGTGAAGGTAGGCGAAGAGTGAGGCGCGGGAGGTAAAGTAACAGGATCCAACCCTCGATGGAGGTTGAATGTTTGGCGAGGAAAAGGAGGGGTGTCAGTAGGGCGAGCGCGAAAAGTTGACGGATTTGGGGGGGTAACCGGCGGGAGAGAGGGGGTTGGCGACTGTCGCAGAGAACTGCAATGTCCCAATTGGCGATGTCGGCGAATCGGGAGGGGTAATTCGCCAGTTCTTCCGGGGACAGCTGCGGAACTGCCTGGGGATGGGTGTCCAGCGGTGCCCGAGTATTGTGCATGCGGCTGGACCCTCGTCCCCTAGATCTGGGATTTGGGTCAGCCGCTCTTCCTCCAGCGCGCCTGTTTGTTTCGACGCCTTCCTCCTCACTGGAGGTCTCAGTCGTGGGTTCTTCCTGCTCCCCTGGTATATAAGTTCTGTCCGCCCGCTCCTCCTCACCAGTTGTTCTTTGCAGTCCCGAGGCACTTAAAGCCCTGTTCGCTGCCTGCTGGAATCCGTTCAGCGGTCCTCCGTCGGAGGACAGATTGCCGCGCCTTGCCGCCCCGCGACCGCGCCCTCCGGCGGTACGTGTATTGAGTCTTCCGCGTCCGCTTCCGTGGTTTCCTCTCGGGGTGGCCCTGGTCGCCGTTCGGCTTTCGTGCCGAGTCGTGGGGGGTGCCGAGTGCGGCGCGCCTCCTCGGGATGGAGCGACCTGCGCGGGAGCGTTTTGCCAATTTGGAGAGTACTGGGGATAGCGAGTCCCCCCAAGGTCGGGCGAGTCCGCCAGCATAGTCGAGCCGTGATTGGGAGCGCGGGCTCCACGTCCCCTCGACGGTTCGCCCGCAGAGCCCCGAGCGGATGCGTGGGCGGTCGCGTGGCCGACCAGGCGTGCCCCAGAGGCACGAGGAGAAGTCTCCCGAGCGCTCCTCGGAGACCGGTCGTGCACCCGCGGCGCATGGCAGGGTGCATCAGACGCCGCGCCAGCAACATCCCTCTCGCCAGGGGACGCCTCCGCGCCGTCCACAAACGGGGCCAGTGCAGCAGCGCTGGACTCCTCAGGCGCCGCGCGGTCGTTCGGGCCAGCGTGTCGGCTGGAGGGCCGGCGGGGGGAGTAACCGCGGGTCAGCTGCGGAGAGGCGCCTGGGGCGGGCTGCCGCGACTCTTGAGGGCCTTGTCCATGCTGTCGCCCAGCCTCCGCAGGCTCTGGCGTATTCCCCGCAGCTTCTGTCGTCCCAGCAGTACCAGCAGGCGCACCAGCAGCCCGCGCGTTTCCCCCTGCCTCAAGTGCCGGCGCGGGTGTTCCCTCCCCGTGTGGTGTCCCCCCTGCTCCCCGACAGCCAGCACCTCGTGCCGCCCCCTCTGTCTGCGCCTCCACCGCCGATCCTCCCCTCTGTGGGTCGTTCGGTTGGGATGCGGATGCCGCCGAGGGCGCAGCTGGAGCGCCTGCGAGGGAGGGAGCGACTGGCGGAGACTGCGATCCCAGACGCCACGCTTCGTCGGCTCTGGCACGCGCAGCGGGCGATGGGGTATGCTGTGGAGATGTTGACGGACTCGCACTCCGTTCTACGGAGCTCAGTGAGCCCGTGTAAGATGCCACATGATCCGCTCCACCGCTGCGCGATGGCTGCAACTGATCTGGCTGTCGTGTCCACGCGTGTGCAGCCTGCGCCCGCCTCGGGAACCGTGTTGGACCCGCGCCTGCTCGCCGTGTTGCGGACGGTATCGGCGAGCGTAGACTCGGCTGCAGCTGTAGATATCGTTGGCGGTGCCGTGTCAGCACTGATGCTCCTGGGGGACTACGTGAAGGACCTGCTTGAGGAGGCTGGAGCGGACCAAGCCGCATGACGGGCTCTCGTCGTGTGTAGGTCCTTGTTGGTGAAGTGCGTCCTAGCGTGAGCGCTCTGGTAAGCTCTGTGAGGCTCTCCATGCTTGTTTGCCGAGTGTAGTGTTGGCGGGTTGTAGACCCTGGATGCGTGTACTGGCTGTTGTCGTAGTTGATTTTGAAGCCGTGTGTTCTTGCCGCCCCTCATGCGCGGCCGAAGGCCGCGCCGCGAGCGTCGGCGGCCGAGCCGCCACCAAGGGTGGGAGAAAAAGAAAGAACTGAAAACTAAACAGGAAGAATGAGCTAGGGAGAGAGCTTAAATAGCTAGGGAGGGACTCATGCTCTCTCTCTCTCTCTCTCGCTGCCTCTCTCCTCTCTCTCGCCCCAAGGGTGGGAGAAAAAGAAAGAACTGAAAACTAAACAGGAAGAATGAGCTAGGGAGAGAGCTTAAATAGCTAGGGAGGGACTCATGCTCTCTCTCTCTCTCTCTCGCTCTCTCTCTCCTCTCTCTCGCCACCAAGGGTGGGAGAAAAAGAAAGAACTGAAAACTAAACAGGAAGAATGAGCTAGGGAGAGAGCTTAAATAGCTAGGGAGGGACTCATGGTCTCTCTCTCTCTCTCTCGCTCTCTCTCCCTCTCTCCCTCCCCCCAATGCTTGCAGGCATCGCTGCAAATGGCGGAAGCATTTGAACCCACCACGCACCCAACACGTTTCTTTCTCCTTTCTCCCCTTCCCCCCCCCAATGCTTGCAGGCATGGCTGCACATGCTTACAGGAATGCGAGCTCACCACTGACCCACCTCTGCTTTCCATTCTCCCCCCCCCCTTCTGCTGGCAGGCATGGCTGCACATGGTAGAGGATTGCAGCCCATCACCTACTCAGCAGTCTTGTTTCTCCCCCTCTCTTCCTTATCCCCCTCCCGCCCCCCTCTTTCTGCTGGCAGGCATGGCTGCGCATGGTAGAGGAGTGCGAGCCTACCACCAACTCTGTGCTCTTGTTCCTCCCCCTTTCCCCCCCACCACCAACCCAGCACTCTCCCCCTCTCTTCCTCATCCCCCTCTCTTCCTCATCCCCCTCATTTCCTCATCCCCATCTTTTCCTCATCCCCCTCCCACCCTCCCCTCTTCTTGCAGGCGTGGCTGCGCATGGTAGAGGAGTGCGAGCCCACCACTGACCCTGAGGTCATGGCTCACAACATGGAGTCCCAGCATCGCTACATCTGCTGGCGATCCGTCAAGGTACTGATGCTGGCTCGTGTCAAGGTGCCCCTGCCGGCGTGCGTCAAGGTGCCCCTGGTGGCTTTTGTCAAGGCCCCTGGTATTGCCTTTTGTGCTATTGCAAGTGCCAACACTTTGACGCAGAAGTCATGGCTCGCAACATGGAGTCCCAGCATCGCTACATCTGCTGGCGATCCGTCAAGGTAGTGATGCTGGCTTGTGTCAAGGTAGTGATGCGGCTTGTGTCAAGGTAGTGATGCTGGCTTGTGTCAAGGTAGCGATGGCTTGTGTCAAGGTGCCCCTGGTGTTGCCTTTTGTGCTATAGCAAGTGCCAACACTATGACGCAGCAGTCATGGCTCACAGCATGGAGTCTCAGCATCGCTACATCTGCTGGCGATTTGTCAAGATAGTGATGCTGGCTTTTGTCAAGGTACCTCGGGTGGCTTTTGCCTTCTGTGCTAAAACAAGTGCCGACATCTGGCCCAGCAGCCATGGCTCACAACAAGGATGGAGTCCCAGCATCACTCCATCTGCTGGCGATCTGTCTGCTGGTTACTTGTGCCATCCTGGTGTTGCATGTTTTTCGTCTTCTTTTTTTGTTCCTCTTTTTGCTCTTTTGTTTTCTTTCTTTCTTTTTCCTTCCTCATTCTTTCTCTTTTTCCTTCCTTCTCCTTCTTCTCTTTTTCCCTTCTTTCTTTTATTTTGCGTCTCCTTCTTTTTTTTGGCCCTTTCTTTCTTTCTTTCTGAAGCGGCCTCTTCCCTCTCACTCTCTCTCCATCTCTTGTTACTTCTCTCCCTTCCATTCTCCACCTCTCTCCCTCTCACCCACTCACACAACCACTCACCCACTCTCACACTCATTCCCAGGACCCCGGGCGGCCTCTTTTGACCCGGCTATTCGGCTCTGAGAAATGCGAGGTGAGCTGACCAAGTGATAGCAGTGTAGTTTTGAGACGTCTCAAAAGTGTAGCTTTAGAAATGTCGTTTTGAGACGTCTGAAAGGTGTAGTTTTAGCAGTGTAGTTTTGATACGTCTCAAAAGTGTAGTTTTAGAAGTGTAGTCTTGAGACGTGTCAAAACTACTTTTCTATCACACGGCTATTTGGCTCCGAGAGATGCGAGGTGAGTTGACCAACCACCCAACCAACCAACGCCAGTTTGGCCTCATTCCAAGCCACTGCGACCTCTCTTGCCTAGCCTGAGAGCGTCTTATCGTGTGTTCCCATTTACTGGCCCTTTCGCTTGTTCCATCTCTCTTTATCTCTCTGTCTCCCCAATCTCGCCTCCCCCTATTCTTTTCCTCCCCCCTCTCTCCCTTCCCGCCCTCCCATCATCATCCCAGGTTCCCAATATTCCATAGAGGGATTACTATTTCCATGCTTCCCTCTCACTCCTCCCATCCCTCCATCCCCATTCCCAGGAGTTGGTAGAGGGGTGTTTTTTTTCTGCGCTTCCCTCTGACTCCGCCCCTGCCCTCCCTCCATTACCATTCTTAGAAGTTCTTATGAGAGTTTTCTGTTTGCAGGCTCCCAAGAGCTCGGCTGATAGTCCATCCTTGACTTTCCCGCGTTCCAACTACTCCCTTTTATCTCAGCTCCTGGGAGGTCATGGAGGGATTTCTACATGCACGCTCCCAAGAGATCGGCACGACGGCTTCGCTTTACTAAGTCTCTGATCACCACCCTTGCCCTCCATCCACCCCACACTGCAGGAGTTCATTGAGGAATTCCTGTTCGCACGGTCGCACGATATTAATTTCGTTTTGAGTCCACTCAGCTCTACTACATGTCTCTGATCACCACCCTTGCCCGCCACCCTTGCCCGCCACCCCACCCGTGCAGGAGTTCATCGAGGGATTCCTGTTTGCAGGGTCGCATGAGCTCGGAACCAAGGCATTCCTTGACTACTTCCCCGATTACCGCATGGAGGATGGAAGCATTGCCAAGAAGCGTTCCATGAAAGGGAAGGCATACAGTAGTAGACCCTGGGATGCAAGTGGCAAGCTTATTTTGTGACGGAAATGTATCATCAAGCTTGAGATTCAAGTGGGGAAACAAGGTCCGCGCATAGAAGGTTCTGGGCATGGCATTGAGGTCCTCAAATGAGAAGTACGTAGGTGCTTTCTCTAACGAGCAAAATGTTGAGGGAATACTTTTGCCCTATGCAGGCATTCAATGTGGTGCAATTTGGTAATGTGTGCTTGTAAGGAAATTCCCTTTTCCTTACTGGGCTCGACTACAGCGCGTACGCCCTCGACTCTCAGAAGTCCAGGCTCTGCCAACTATTTCGGTCCCGAACCATTTCATGAACTCAAACCTAGACGCGTGGCGCTTCCGTGGCTTTCGCCAACCGGACTGCCCCAACCTGTTCGCGTGGTTCTCGGCTAGCTCTGTTCGTGCCTATAAATACCTAGGCCCTCATTTGTATGGACACTTTTGAATCATGACTCCTTTATTAGACTACCTGTTATTACTCTGATTAATTCATAACAATGCTGTATGCCATTGCAAAATCTACACAATGTAGCGACCCTGAGGAAGCTTGCATTGCGGATCGTCTTTTTGTTCTCTAGTGCCTTGGGCAGGCAATATGCAGCGCAGATGTTGCCTGCCTTGACCGCTACAGAACGATGCGTCGCCGCGCATTGGTTCCCCCAGTCCCGTCGTGCATGCGATGATGCGACTCCCACCTTGCACACAAAGCCTCCACTTGCCTCGAGTGATACAAGCGAGATATTCATCTCAAGCACTCGCAAAGGGCGACACGAGCTTGCATCAGTGTAGGGTACATAGCATTTATTTGTAGTCCCATAAACTGTACACATACCCTTTGAAACTTCCTCCAGAACATCGCGATCAATCATGACCGTCCAGACCGTCAAGAGAAGAAGGCCTCGTGACTTTTGTCGGTGGAGGGGTTTGTATGACAGTTGGCAGCCTCTTATTCGAATGTCATAGGGGCCAGCGAACCGCGTAAGGAACCTCATCCCCCTCCCCGAATCGTCTAGCGACGCGGGCATTGTAACTCACAGGAAGCCTGCAGAAGCGGCGCAGTCGAGAATGTGGGCCGGGCTGCGATGCGCGACCCTATCAAGCAAAGTTGCGCTTTGCGTTGGCCTGCGGAGCAAGTTTCCTAATTGCGCTTTGCGCTCTCGAAAGCTGCAGCTTGCGCAACACATTTCCCCCACAATCCGATTCGGGCAAGACAAGAATTCCGCTTGCTTCCTCCCCTCCCTGACTTGATTGCGCCACTTTTTCACGCTTGTCCCTCCGCTTGCTGGGCGCGCGACACGCGTCTGAGTTTTCCGCGCGAGTGCACATTCTTCCGCAAATCAAATCGATGGGGATGGCACAACGCGGAACAACTGAACTGAACCATTCAAATAACCCCTCATTTTCTCACATCTCATCGTGTCTGTCAACCCATTCTCCCTGGATCTCCTCTGCAGCCCCACCACAGCCCATTTCGTCTCTAGGGAGCCTCAGTCCCCACCCGTGCTCTGCTCCCTCCAAGAAACCCGAACTTGTTGCTCCCAAGGCATCCCAATCTGCTGCCGCTGTTCGCTGCGGCGCTTTCTTTAGAGTCATGGCGTTCAGTCGCCTGCTAGGTCTGGTCGCGCTGCTGGCTTGCGTGGCGGCGGCGGCGGCGGCGAAGGATGCGTCATTCGACAAGTTTATGACGCTGCCCGACTTCTGCAAGTGGGACGGCGGCTGCTCGCGCCAGAACGACGGCTCCGTGAAGCTCACCGCTTACTCGAATAAGATGGGCAGTGAGTGCATTACCGGCAAAAGATAGATCATCCCATTCGGCGGGTATTGTGCATATGGATAGGCCTTCCGAGGCACCTCATAAGCAGTTACCGCCTGCTCAAATAAGCCAGACAGTGAGTGCATCACCATCGCATGCGGGGACCTCGTCACAGCTCACCGCTTACTCGAATGGGGAGTAAGTGTGAGTGCAACGAAGGCGTTATGACGATAGTGAAATGCAATGGCAATGCAGGCAGTAAAGTGAGCAATCGACGGCCGGATTGCTTGCGATGAATGCAATCTATCTTGCAACTCCTAGAATCACCTATTACGACGGCTCCTAGTACCGAGTGGTTCTCCTACGAGGGAATGCAAGGATATCAGCATGTACGACGACAGTCCTGACATGTCTCGATCCTCCACGACTACGGCTCACTGTCGACATACCCTCTTGCCACTCGACTTTCCGCGTGATGGCACTTCCGCGGTTCTCTTCTTACCCTCCCTTCGCGCCCCTCCTCCCCTCCTTCCCCCGCCCCCACCTCCTTCCCTCCTCTCTTCCTCGCCCGCCCCTCGCCCCTAGTCTTGCCATCTCAGCCCTTATCCTGCTTTCCATTGCGACCACCCCCTTCTCATCTCTTTTCCAACTCCCCTTCTCCCCTTTACCCTCTTTTTGGCAGAGTTCACGTCCAAGGGCTACTTCGGCTATGGCATCTTCCGCGTCAACATGATGCTCCCCTCGGGCTACTCGGGTGGTTTGATCCCCTGCCTCTATCTCATCTCGGGCAACAACCCCAAATACACCGACCCGCACGACGAGATCGACATGGAATTTATCGGGGGAAATACCCCCCGGGATATCGTTTTACACACGAATCTCATCACGGGCGGGCAGGTGTACCTGCAGCAGTACAAGTTCCCGTTCGACCCGTCGGCCGCGTTTCACACGTACACGATCGTGTACTCGCCGGATTACATCATGTGGGCCGTCGATGACACGCCCATCCGCATCCACTGGAAGGAAAGCGGCCGTCCCTTCCCGTCGCTCAACGTCAAGTTCGAGGTGGGGACGCCTTTCCCTCCCGAGCCTTTCCTATATTTCTTCACAGCATGAAATTCTTGGGCTTACCTACTTCCCGCCGCTTCGACCTGCGTCGCACGTTCAAGGCTCACTAACCCCTCGCTCCTTTCCCCCTCTTTTCTCCCCTCTCCAGGGCTCCATCTGGGATGCTTCCTCGTGGAGCGCGCTGAAGCCCAACTGGGGCAACGGGCCCAAGGAGGTCAAGTTCCGCCGCTTCGACATGCGCCGCACGTGCAAGGCGTCGGGGGAGACCGGCACGCCGTGGTGCAACAAGCTGCGCGGAAACAAGGCGCCCTGGACGCGCAAGCCCAGCGCGGCCGCGATCGCGAAAAGCATCGAGTTCCGCAAGAATTATCTGGTCAAGGACTACGGCTGGTCGCACACCTAAGGAGTTGGCTTGTTGTCGCACTACCTAGGCGTAGTTCGTTGTAGGCTTGTTATGCTTTGAGCGATCTTCTGTAGCGAGGATGCGCTCGTGGTGTTTTTAGAGCTGACTCCGCTTTTCTAGAATAAAAGCTGTTGGGCAGCAATGTCCTCGGTAATCAATGGTGTATAAGTTGTCCATCAGATAAATGATTGATTTTTGCTCCAAACTGGCTGTGGTTTAGGGTTGTCTCTCGGCCAATCAGAAACCACACATGCCAAACTGGGTTTTTTTTGGGTTGCGGAGCAACCTATTTGCAAGGAATTACGATTTCTTATTGGGGCTCGCAATAGCGAGTAGCCCTTCGGGTCCGCAGGCATGGCCCTTAAGTCACGCACCAAACCAGCCCTCGACAACCTCGACAGCCCCAACCTTATCCTGAGTAGCCCCGAACCCATTTTGAGCCTGTCACCCTCGGGACTATTGAGCCCTTTGTTAAAATATATATTGTGTTATATAATTTGTAGGCTTGGTAGGTTATCGAACTCTACTGTAGAGGGTACTGTTAGAATGTCGAGAGAAAAAGTTGACTAAGGGAGGAAGGCTGAGGGTTACAAAGGTGGGAATGTACCCTCTAAGAACTGACCTAACTAAGGCTATAACAAATATACTGTACCTAGCAGGGCCTCAGATATCAGGATGTTTTATCCTGAATTCCTGATTTTCAGGATGAGTATGAGGTGCCAGACCTGAAAAATCCGGTTAAATGAATTTCTGACCCTGTAAATTCAGTATGAATATCATATGACAACCCTGACAACTCAGTATAGTGTTCGTGTACCAGCCCTGAGTGCTCAGTATGAATTCGGGGATAACCCTGATACCTCGAATCTGGCTTCAGGGGGGGCGCTACGGGTGTACCCCCTGCTTACTGCCCATAGTTCCATAATTTTCGTGCCAGCGCACATTTTGCCTGTGGATTGCTGCCGCGAAATGACCAGTTTGGCGCGTGCACTGCAAATCCCGAAATTCTGGCCAATAGCGGCTAAGTATACAGCTAGTGCACCACGAGAAACATGGCCTCAGAAGGTGTTGGCGTGCTGCGGTCCACTCGCTGAAGCAGCATTGCATGCAGGGATGTTTGGACGGCCAAGCACTCCATGTGGGGAGGACCAAACTCCCGCGTCTCGACAGAACAGCTCCCTTTCATGCCTTCCTCCGATGGTCCTTCCTCCCCACAGCTCCCTTTCATGCCTTGGTTGAACTTGAATCATCCAACCATTCTAGACGACAGAGCTTGTGCTTGTTGGTCTGTTTCTCTGCTGTGAACCGCCCCCTCGTTAGGGGGCACTATGCTCGCGTCAGGAACTGACGACGAGGAGGAGGCTCCCGACGATCCTTCTACAGCGTCCCACCCTGGTGCCGTGACAGGATTAGACTTACTGCGAAGAAATCCTCCCGCATCGGCACCTCCCCCTCGAACGCACACCGCAGAAGTAGTAGAGGAGGCATCTCGCCCTGCTGTAGCTACACCACCTCAGCGAAGCACTACGCCCCGCACGTCTTTGGATCAAGGGTCGACCCGTATTGGACCGCCGTCGAAGAAGCTCGAGCCCTCACGCTATCGGCAGGCAACCCTGAGTTTCGGGCGGTCGCAAAACACTCCCGCTCCGACTCTGCATGTCGTCCCTCCTGTTGTTTCAGGACCATCTGCAGCGACGACTTCGTCATCGGACACCGAACTTGAAGACGTGGCCGAACGAAAGTACCAGGAGGCTCTCTGGCAATTTAAAAAGCGGTGGAGTACTGACTTTCCTTGGCTTGTGCTTAATCAGACCCGTGCAGGATTCCCGGCTTTGAAGTGTAAGATTTGCATGGAACATGGCGGGCCCGGAACAAACTACGGCAAGGGCGGAGAAGGTGCGACCGACGTCCAGACGCAAGCGATGCAGAACCACCAGCGCACGCGGAAGCACAAGAGAGCGATGCGGAGACAAGCCACCGCCACTGCGATCGCTGAGGGGCAGCTGCGCATGGAGGACTTGGCGAAAACACATACCGTCCAGCGCGAGCGTGTTACTGCACTGCTGGAGACTCTGCTTTTCATCTGTCAGTCCGACGCGCCCATCGAGATGTGGGTGCAACTCGTGCGGCACCTCTCGAAGCGACGTACTCCTGGTTTTCCCAAACGAGGCTACGGGTCTTACTTCACAACGTAAGTCCCTGGGTGTTTTATTCGTTTACTTTAACATGTCTTGATCTCTCGCATGTACTAATCTCCCTGCATGGTTTGCGCAGGTATGGCTTTCAGGAGTTAACCAAGTCGACAGCCATGTACCTTCGAGCTCGTCAACGGGAGTACTTGGAGTCAAGCCCGTTCATTGGCTTGAGCTGTGATGAGAGTACCGACAGAGTTCGTGGCAAACACATGATTGTGTTTGCTACGTTCCTTCGCGAGCGCGTCGTTGTCACAGAGTTTCTAACGCTTCTTCCTGTCGACAAATGTGATGCAGCTTCTCTGGAAGGCTCTCTTGTCGCTTACCTCGATAGCATCGGCATCAGTCTCTCGAAGGTGTCGGGCATCAGCACCGACGGTGCCGCAGTGATGGTTGGAGCCACGAACGGGGTCGTTGGGCGCCTTCGACAGCGGATCCCACATGTGGTTTCTGTCCACTGCATAGCGCATCGGTTCGTTCATGCATAGACTTCATATCCCGTTTAGAAAACCGTGCACTAACCACTGTTTCATCGTGTTTCTACTCCCGTCCATCCAGGGAAGCCCTCGCTGCCAGAGATGCTGCCAACGCGCTGCCTGAGCTGGGAATTGTGGATGCCATCATCCGCGCGGTTGCCGAGCTGCTGGGGCGTTCACACAACTGGCACAAGATGTTCAAGGAGCTCCAAAAGATCTTCACGGCGACAAATCTGGAGATGCAAGGGATTCACCTTGTTCGGTGGCTCAGTCGTGGCGGCGCCATTCTGAGGCTGGTGGCGGTGCTTCCTGCCGTCATCGTTCTACTGCACCTCTACGACAAACCCATGTACCACATCGTCACATCGTACAAGTTTCACTTTTTCCTGTACTTCCTCGCCGATGTGCACGAGGAGCTCAACAGCCTCAATCTGCTGTTCCAGAAGCGCGAGGTGAGCCACTGCGGTTGCAATGGTTTCCAACCAATTCAAACAAAAAACATACTGCCGTCAATAAAAAAAATACTTACTGCCTCTTGTTCTTCTTTCATCCCACGACACCCTCCTACAGATCGACCTGACGGGCGTGCAGTCGCAGGTACGGCGAACGATCGTCTTCATTCGTTCGCGCTACGTCAACTGCGGGCCTAACTTCGGCACGAACAGCGATCGCCTGTCCAAGTTTCTGGAGCGCCACGCCAGCAGCCGAAATGTGATCGTGCAGGGCGTTGATGCAGACGGAGTGGAACGAGTGCATCAATTCGAGCTTCACGAGGAGCCGCTGCCAAACTACACCACTGCCCGCGGCGACAAAGCTTCCTGCACGCTCACCTGTCGCTCGTACGCGACCGAGCTCGTCTACAACGTGCAGCTCCGGCTCGGCGACCTTGAGCGGCTCAATGGGTCAAAGCTGTGGATGCCCCGAACATGGCCGCGGAACACGGAGGCGAGGGACGAGGAGTGCGCCGAGCACTTTGACAGCGTGGTCGAGCTCTTCCACACCAGCGACCGCGTAGAAATTCTGCCAGGTAAGGTGATCCATGCCAATGGATATTATATGCCCAACTTGCTGAAATATTGCAGTACATTGCTCTGGTTCCTGATGCCTCCACATCACTGCGCTGATTTACGAGTGTTGCTGTTCCTGTATGTGTCTGGCAGGAGTAGACAAGCGGCTGGCACGCAAGGAACTCAACACCCTCGTGCCAGTGCTTGCTGGTGTGCCAAAAGAGGAGCAGCCATTCCATGCCGGACTTGCAGCCATCCTGGAGACCAGCGACTGGCCGCGCAGCTACCCGAATCTCGTGCGCCTGTGGGTGGCTGTGGCAGTGCTTCCTCTGAGCACTGTTGAGTGCGAGAGGGGATTCTCGCGACAAAATGTGATTAAGAGCTGGAACCGGACGAGCCTGTGCAACGGGAAGCTGGAGGATCTGATGTGCATGAGTTTGCTGGAGTATGACATGAACTGGGATAGGGTCATTGAGGTGTGGCGCGGCATGAAGAAGAGACGGCCAAGGAGGGCCCACCAGAGCGAAGTGCGTGCGAGGAAGTCTGCCAAGGGCAAAGAGAAAGTGGTGGTGTTGTCCGAAGAGGAGCATGATGATGATGAGGCACGAGCGGACGATGAGAACAGCTGCTCCAGCAGCGGGTTTAGTTCTAGTGATGATGAGGATGGTGGAAATTTCTGAGTCAAGCCACATGTACACTGTTGTACTTTGAATATTGATTGTCTCTGGTGTTATACTGCTATTAGTATAGTTAAAGCAACATTTTGGGCTGTTTTGAAGATTACCCTGAGGCTGCAGTTAAGTGCTGGATGCCAACCCTGACAAAACAGTACGAACATTGATGTCCAACCCTGACCAGTACACGTGGTTTCAAGGCCTAGCCCTGAGTAGACAGGATGCCCAAAATCCTAGCTGAGGCCCTGGTACCTAGCATAGACAATCATATTTATTGACACACCCCCTAGCCAAGATAGTGGCAATTCCTAACAAGAAAAGTACACCACGGCAGCACTACTAGTCCGACCTCTGATGAGTGTAATAAGAAAACTCAGGGGAGTACTACTAGTCTGACCACTGAGACAAGAGGCCGCAAGGCCAGTCAGCAAGTGTAGCAAGACAAGCAGGTATAACACAGCAAGTACAGACAGGTATGGTATGACTCAGGATACAACGAGAGGTGCTGCTACTGAAGCTAGACCAAGCTGAGTACAGAACCGCTGACGGTCACGAGACGCAAGTGCCTTGGTGAAGATATCAGCGGTGTTGGCCTCTGAGGCCAACTGTACTATACGGACCTGACCGCGCTGCTGCAACTCTCGCAACAGGAAGTACCGCAGCTGGATGTGCTTCGCTCTGCCCTCAATTCGTGCCTCCTGATACAAGAGGATCATGGCACTGTTGTCAGCAAACAGGACCGGGGCGGACCTAGGCTGCTCACCTAAGTGAGTGAGCAAGAACGTCAGCCAGCGGAGCTCCTGAGCAGCCATGGCCCCAGCGTAAATCTCTGCCTCACAGCTGGACTGAGCTACAAACGACGACCTGGTGGACCTCCACGAGACTGCACCAGCACCAAGACAAAAGCAGTAGCCCTGAGTCGACCTGAGCGTCTCCAAGTCGTCTGCCCACGACGCGTCTGTGTGTCCAGTGAGCACCATTCGCTCCCGTCCTCCTAGCACAAGCCCCAGTCTTGATGTGCTCGCCAGATACGGTAGTAACCTCTTGGCAACCGACCAGTGGACTGGTCGGTGCCTGCCTGTCGCGACAAAGCGAGCCAGGAGACTGAGAGAGTACGCTAGACCTGGTCGAGTGCAGGTCATCAGGTACATGAGGCACCCCACGAGCTCTGCGTATGGACCACTAGCCTCGACCGGCTCAGCCGGAACAGGAGCACAGAGCTTGTAATCCACATGCAGGGGGGTGGGCTGTGCTAAGGAGAACTGGAGACTAAACCTCTAGAGGATTTGCTGCACACTTGGAGAGTGTGATCGTGCGAGCGGCACGGTCACGAGAGATCTCCAAGCCCAGATAGCGCCTCAGCTCCCCCAAGTCTGTACAGGTGTGTCTCCTAAGTAACTTGGCCTTCACTGAGGCCAGTGCCACTCTGTCGGGAGTAGCAAAGATAAGATCGTCTACGTACACTAGAATGTAGAACGGTGTCTGATCCGTGCGAACAAAGAGAGAGGGGTCACCAGAGGACGGAGAGAATTGCAGCCCAGCAAGAGTGGTGCGAAGCGTGTCGTGCCAC